CTCGCTCTACCACAGACTAACTGCTGTGACTGAAAGATTTTATTATGTATTAGATGGAAGCAGAGAGGCTACGGCTATTGCTCTTGACATATTTAAGGCTTTCAACAAAGTTTAGCATGCTAGTCTTTTCTGCTTGTTTAATATGGTGTATCTGGGAAAGATTTTTTTTTTTTTTTTTTTTTTTGGGTCAATTCTTGCCAAAAATATCTTGCCTTAAAGTCTTCTCTTTTTGTTTGCTTAGAACAGGCAGCCGATCTTGAATCTGATCTTACTTCTGTAACAGATTGGGGTTCACAGTGGCTTGTAAATTTTAACTCCAACAAAACTCAGTTATTTACTGCAAACAACTATCACAGTACTGTCGACATTCCTATATTAATGAATGGTACTGAGTCCTCTTCTTTACATCTTGTTGGATTATCGTTTACTACTGACCTTTCATAGAAACCATTTATACAATTGATTGCTAAATTATTATCTGCTAAGGTTGCTTCTCTTTATTGTACTCGCTGTTTTCTCTCTCCTAATTCGATTCTCTACCTTTACAAATCTCTTATTCGCCCCTGTATTGAAGATTGTTGTCATATTTGAACTGGTTCTTCTAATAGTGCTCTTTCTCTTCTAGACAAGGTCCAAAAATGCATTGTAAATGTAGTTGGACCCGGTCTATCTGCTAAGCTTGAGCCTCTTTCCCATTGTCATAAAGTTGCATCTCTTTCTCTTTTCTACAAATACTATCATAGTCACTGCTCAAATGAGTTAGGTTCCAACTAAAACTCATTCTTGCTTGACTTGTCATTCAGCAAAGTCTCATTCTTTTACTGTATCTGTCTCGACATTCTCTAAAAACTTTTATTCGTCTAGTTTTTTTCTCCGTACCTCAACTGTTTGGAACTCTCTCCCATCTTCTTGGTTTCCTGACTCATACAACCTTCAACTTTTTAAGTCTTCTGTCAACCGCCTCCTTGCTCTATAACTCTATTCTTTTTTTCTAGTAACTTCTAACTTAATAGTGGTTGCTTGCAGCCTTGTTGGGAGGAATCAGAATTAAAAAAATATATAATTGCGGTAGTGGTGAGTGCTCGCTTCATAAACAAGTGGTTCCGAGTTCGATCCCCACCGCGTCCTGGTAGTACTGCGCTCAACTTGTTTCTCTGCGCAGCGGCCTTGTCCGTTA